TCCGTCAGAAGAAGTCACTCTCCTTGCTCCGTCAAGTTCAAGGGACAGAGAGCATGTTTGTCTGTCCCTCGTCACTTCCTTTTGGTAAGTAAGTTTATTCAGTGCTTAAAAAGGACATTGACCCACATCACATTACATTAAACTCTCATCTATTATTACTATTAAACAAAGCTTTCATAAATGAAAAAGTACAGGTTGTGCACATACCCCTTATCCTCAGGAGTCGAACAACTCATCATATTTATGTCAAAGGGCGAGTCAAGCTGGCTGGAAGCAATTAACAATTTTCCAACTTTCTTTTTTAAGTTTCTTTGTAACTCATCCAAGTCCTGGGAGGGTGGCTACCTCATCCCTGCACGAACTCCTCTTGCAGTTTGTTTTGTTTTGGATTGTTGTTGTTTTTTTTCATATATTCAATTTGGTCTCCAGTACCATGTCTAATGATAGTGGTGATAGGGCAATCTTGTACCTGTCATTCTCAAATCATGTCTCAGATATTGTCGTCCTCTCATTTTTTTTCCTGGGGATATAATTCTGCAGTCTCAGTCTCAGCTCTTTCCAGCACGTCATTATAAAATTTGTGATCATTTCATTGTTTTATTAATATTTTTTTCTAGATATTGTTTGAAAGCTTTTTAGTTTGTTTTCATTGAATTGCTTTGTTTGTTTTTCACATCTCTGAACCAAAACGTTGCTATATTAATAATACTCTTTGGATAATTTTAGTTTGGTCTGCAGTGTCTGATTTTCACATTCTTTTTTTTTTTTAAATAAAGAGAAAAACATCGACTCAATACGTGTAATAGCCACTTTGTGCTGAGAAAAAGCATGGCAGACCGATAGAAACCACAGGGGGAAAAGTAAAGAAGTACTGATGTAGGACACACAATAGGGGCACCCTCCACCAACCACCTGCTCTTTGAATTTCAAAAGGTTTTTCTCTTCTTTTTTTTATTGTTGCAAAAAGAGATCCACGTATTTAGTATTCCATGTAGTATGTAGGTAGCAGTCAATGTACATGTAGTTTGTGGTGACGACCGCAGCATCAGCAAAACGTGTAAGTTATATACCAACTTGTTCTGCAGATCTTGCCAATTTATCGGTTTTTAACTGCAGGTCATGAACGAAGGTGTTTAAAAAGACATTATCAGTCCAAAGGCGACTGTTGGTGGTTAGATGGGACAGACTATCTTAGAAGAAGTTCCTTAGACTTGCCATCCCTCCTATTTTTTCCCATGCTCCCAAAGAAAATAAGAACCAATTAACATTAGCGTATGCTTTAGCAATAATTAAGAATCTAGTTTCCATTTGCAGTCGCTATTCTGATCCCAGAATGCAATAGAGATTGAAGAGGAGGAGTTCATGGTATAATGTAAAAAGTATACTGTACTACTGAATTATATATAGATGAGTGGAGGGAAAGTTAAGAAAATGGCGATGGAAGAAACCTAAGAAAAAAAATCTCCCTTTGGTTTATTAATTTGTTTGTTTGCTTTGTTTCTTCAGTAAAAAGACACATATTCGACACCATAATGGCCATCTAGTGCTGGGGGAAAAAGCAAGACAGAAATAAACAACAGAGGGAAAGTGAAGAAGTAGGACCTACCCAGTGGCACTCTCCAACCACTAGCTCTCCTTCTTCCTCCTCCGCCCTCCTTCCACTTTTATATATGAAACTAATCGGGTGCTGGGCAATTTCTCTTCATGTGCAGGTAGATGTTTTGTAACCTCCATATACACAATTTAGATTATTTAGGAGGTCGACTGCGTAAACAAGAAACGGAGTCTGATGTCCCCACCTTAACTGCAGACAGATCCTCTTGGTCATCTCCGATGATTGCCTCGTACGCCTCAAAGCGTCATCATTGCCTTTCTCACTCCGCACCAGGGTATAGGCCACGGACAAATACTTTCCACCTTTCTCTATCCTGGGCTATCCTCTTGATGATAGTCCATGTCTTCCCACTTTTCAGTACAATAATTTCCTGTAATAATTCTTCTCCAGGTTCCACGCGGTCTGGTCTTCCCCTGATCTCTTACCCTGTGGATTCCAATTCAACACTTTCTTTGTTATGCAGCTGCCTGACTTCCTGAGACAGTATGTCCAATTGGTCGTCACCGCCTTCTTCCTACCTTACCTCTGACTGGGATCTGCCTCAAGGTGTGGGAGTCTTTAAATCTGAAAATGGTATATGTTTTTAACGCATCTATCGACACTACTATTAGCTTTTATCTAAATTTGAGAGGCTGACCTCCGAGTTTAAAGTCCATCTCCGAAAGGACCAAGCCCTATGGGAAATTCGTGTAAAGTGCCTTTCCCAAGGACACAATGTCGGACTGAGCTGAGGCTCGAACCCCCGAACCCGCAATCTCACGATTTTGGTTCCGGTAACCTAACCACTAGACTACCGACAACACCTTTATTATTATAAATCTGAGTAAATCTTTAAAAAAAAGTTTTAGTAGAGGTTTTACGGCGCTCGCAATTGTATAAGGTCATATGAGCGCCAGAAGATTAGAGGTGTTACAAGAGAGTAACAAACACAAAAAAAGAAGAAGGGAAGAAAAGGATGATAGATATGATAGGAAAGAAAGAGAAAAACCACACCAGAGCACCCGCCAACCGCCCGCTCTAAGTAAGTCTTGTCTAAGCCATGTCACTCAACACGGCAACCCTGGCTGGGAGAGATCTTACGTCCCAACTGGCAGATGGAGATCATCATCATCATCCAGTGCCAGATCTGCGACAGACATCGGCGATCATGATTTTCCATTCATTCCTTTGTTCGGATGCTCTCAAAAAAGCTACGTTTCCCTGATCTTTCCCCGTTACCCATTTGTTTAGGCTCCTTAAATATGCTGTTCTGGGCCTACCCCTGCCTCGCTTGCCCTCATTTTTGCCAGTGAGAGCTAGATGTTCAAGACCCTTATGTCTACTCAGGTGTCCCAAAAACCGCATTTGTCGTTTCCTGATTGTTTTTAACATTGAGCGTCCCACGTGGGCTTCATCAAGCACTACCTCATTTGATTTCTTTTCCTTCCACGATACTCTTAGCAGTCTCCTAAGAAACCACATTTCTGTTGCCTCTATTTTATTTTCACTGTCTTTAGTGATTGTCCAGCATCCACAGCCATATAGAAGGGTTGACCATGATGGAGATACTAAATAAGAAAAAGCAAAACAACCTGACATGGTAACTGCACTCTCATCTTCTGCATGCAACGACCAAGTGCCTCATCGCCACATCACATGTGCCACTGCTGGAGACTCACAAAGCAAAAGTTCACACAAACTCCACAGATAGTAATGTCTCTTGGAACTTTATTAAATCACATTTTATTTATCTATATATATCTTTCTCAGACTTGTTTCCTCTCTCT